ACTTCTAAAATAACCTACTTTCTAACTTATAAGTAATATAAATTAACCAGTTATTGATATTACCAATAGGTTTTTTTATTAGTTAAATTATTCTAAAAAATAAACTTAAATTTACCTTAAGGTTATAGCAACCAGTTGTTTAAAGAGTTCTTTTTTAGTTAATAGTAACCTTAAAAAATGTTAATGGTTGAATACAACTACAATTTGTTTAAAAAAAAAATTAAAAAAACGTCATTTAACTTAGATTTTGGTTAATTTACTCAGAATGCTAGTTATTTAACCAGTTTTGCTACTTGGGTAGCACGCTGCCTATAAAAATCGCTTAAATTACGAAAAAAATGCGCTAAAATTTAAATTTTTTATTGAAAAATATAGTTTTTTATACCAACATATTTAAATATATATCGACTTTTTCTCGATATATCAAAAATGAATTTTCTTCACAAAAGATTTTGAAATCTTATTTACTGTGAAATCAAATTTGTTTTTTCCGAAAAACGTGTCAAAACGCCAAAAATGCTTGATTAGATTAATAAAAGAAAGTTTGAAGAAAAACATAAAATGTGAAAAAAACGAAAAAAGAAAACCCTGCAAAAAGGGATTTGTGCATAATGTGCAAGTTCGTATTTTACTCTCCATAACTCAAATTTTTTTATTACATATTTAGTCTAAAAATATTTTTTTTTCGTAATATTAAAAAAATTTTGCTATTGATTATGATAATTTTTTTTGTTAAATATGTGTTAAATATCGCGTGTGAGAGAGCGTCATATTAACTTTACCTGTATGTGGGCTTTGTAGATGTACTGCGGACTAGTAAATTGCGTTTTCTTGCCAACGGCTTCAGAAAAAATGATATTTTGTTCGAACAAAAACACTTGCAGTTCCTTGTTCTTGCCAAGCGAACTCGTACTTCCTTGTGCATCGGAAACAAACAGGAACCCGTGAAGCAACAGTTTTCCCTGTGCAGTTATTTTACCCTAAAAATGTTTATACTTTACTTTAGTACATAGGTTTTATTATGCTAATGTTAGCAATAAAGGTGAGATTTTAGGTTGCAAAATTTATAAAAATAGGCAAAGCTTTTTCTTTTAGGTGAGAAAATTCTTAAATTAGGTAGGTACATAACTAAAGTACTGGAAAGCAACTTTTAGGTGGTAACATTGTTTGATTTATTAATGTATAAAATTTTCTGATTTGTAAAAATTTAAAATTAACTGAGGAATGCCATCATACATTTTTAAATTTTTAAAGCGGCGGCACATTCAAAATGATTTTTGTAAATAAGCACACCATTGCTAAAAATAAAAAATTCAGATTTATTATGATAAAAATGTTTTTGAAAATACTTTTTACTTGAGATCTCATGCAACAGAATAAAAAAAAATTAAATTATTTTCATCAAAATGGATTTTATTCCATTCCACCTAAAGTTATGATTAGCGTAGACAAATCACGGTGCTGTTCTGAGAGGTGATTTTTGGACTTTCTGTGAAACCTAATTTTTTTTATATTCTTATTAATTAGGTCATAACTAAAATTTTAAGAGCAAAATAAAAAAAATTTGACGGTCAATTTTGTTTTAATTGTATGTTTATTAAAAATATGTATGCACACTTTCAATTCTCCAATTAAAACTTGCGATTTTATTTAAATATTATCACTTTTTAAATCAGATTAAAGATTAGTTAATTTCCTAAAAAAAGGTCTATAAATTTTTTATATCTTTTACTGTTTTGTTGTAATATACGTTTAAAGTTTTAATTTAAGGTTAAATGTATAGTATACATTTATTAAACAATAATTCTAAGGGTGCCACATTTTACTTAGGGCCGATTTATTCATTTTTGATTTATTTGACGAATAATTTCTTTGGATACTAGATATTGCCAAGACATGAAAGTTATCGGCCCGATAAACATTACTAAAGATGAATAAACCGGTCCTTAGTTAAATTTCATGAATTTCTTCGTAACTTTTACTACAATTTTTCATTTTTGTTTATAAAAAACACTTTAAAAAACTAAACAAAAATTATATAATACCTATACTGAAAATGACAATTCAAACGTCAAATAAATTTTTAATAGATCTAAGTTTCATGGCAACCTTTAAGGATATAAAGGGAACATAAATGTATACGTCAAAGGTTAGATTAAAAGTTTGAACGTTTATTGCAACAAAACAGTAAAATATAAAAAAAAAATTGTAAAAACCTTTTTTTTAGTTATGCAAATATTAAATATTTAAATTAAATCGCTAGTTTTAATTGGATAATTGAAAGAGTGCATAATATTTTTAATAAACAGCCAATTAAAACAATTCAAACCGTCAATTTTTTTTTAATTTGCTCTTAAAATTTTAGTTATGACCTAATTAACAAGAATATAAAAAAAATTTGGTTTCACAGAAAGTCCAAAAATCACCTCTCAGAACAGCACCGTGAAATATTTAATAACACCAAAACCCATTTCAAGTTATTAAACGTATAACAAGAAATGTAGTGGGCCAATATTGGGACCCTGTGGGACACCTGAGCTTGTTTATAATTTCCTATTTAAACATGATACCAGGTGTCCCACAGGGTTCCAATTCGAGTCCATTATCATTCTAGCATAAAATACGTGACGTAATAATAAAAAACATTCTTACATCAAATCCTTGCAATCTTCCAACGTCCATCATGTCGTTGGCAGCTTGCGGCACCACCACCATGATGTTATAAGCCGCTTTGAGCGGTTCGATTTCGTCAGTCATTTTCGCTTTTTCCGTATACTTCAGAATATCTTTCAGCATCAGCTGATACTTCATGATCCTTTGCACCGGTTTTATGAGCAGATCGCACAGCTGCAATTTGTGCCCGAATTTCACCCGCAACTCTTCGAAGTACGTGTCTATGTGCTCCGACACGATGTACTCCGAAACCGGTTTGTTTTTGCAGTACACCACGTACATGTGCAGTTTGCGCTCGTAACGTCGGAATTGCAGCGCCAACTCCACCGGGTTGTTTATTGCTTTTTTGAGAGATTTTAGAAATACGCTGAAAGAAGAGACATCAGTTAGAATTTGCTATTATAATGAGGGGAACATGGTTTTATGTTTTTGAACCTTCTGTAGAAAATGTCTTCTAAGTATGGCATGAAGTTTCACTTTTTAACAGGATAAAAAATATTAATACTTTAAGAAATAAATTGCATTAAAAAATAATACCTTCAAAATAATAAATTAATTAGAATTATACATGTCAAAGAAGTTATTCTTTTTTCAAGTATGTTTATATGTAAAGGGTGATGTTATTAATGTAATATATTAAAATGGGTAGTTCTTTAGGGTCCATAAAGAAGCACCTGAAACTTTTTTCTAAATTCTAAAGACTAAAAATAATTTATAATAACCTTTATCCTACCAAAAAGTACGACACTGATCGACTAGGAACTTTAGGCTAATCTGGTTGCCTAATTTAATTTATTATGTTATGGTTGGTAACAACAAGCGTTTCCAGATTCTGTCAAAAAAAGTTGACAGAATTTGTTTAAATTTAGCTTAATTACAAAAATGACAAAATCAACAATGCAAATTGTCAATTTGGCGTTTTTATTAATTGTTGGTTATGTCATTTTTGTACTGAAGGTAAATTCAAACAAAATTTGCCAACTTTTATGAAAGAAACTAGTGCATTTCTTTCAAATTTTAGGTTATGTGCTCAAATTAAATATCTTAACTAAGTGCCTGTGGATTTATTTACACAAATTGAATGTTAAAGTTTAACCTGTGAACTTGTCCTAATTTTATCTGAGAGAACAGAAAAAAAAAACCGATGAAAAAATAATTTATTTTCTAATAATAGCTTAAGCTTATACTGCCCTACTATGGAGAAAGGCAATATCTGCAAAAAAATGTAAAATGCGTTTTCTTGTGCTATGGTAAAGCTATGGACATTTTCTAACCGAATTCAACACAGAAATGCAGTCAAATATCTCATAAGTTAAAAAAATCAATTAAATACCTACTGCTTTTTATAAAAATGTGTACAGATAAAATTATATAATTAATTTTGTTTACACATAAAATTTATTTGGCGCTGCGAAAGTGCGGCCGAAAGTGGCAACTGCAGTAGTTCAAATATAATTATATCACAAAATTAGAACCTTCTAATTTTGTGAATTATATACAAAGAAATAATTTCTATAATTATATAGATAGAAGATCAAAACCCGAATATTGAAAAATTACGCATAAATACCTAATATGCATTTGAACTACTGCAGTTACCACTTCCAGCCGCATTCCAAAGGCGCCAAATTAATTTTATTTGTAGACATAGGTCCAATGAATTATATAATTTTATGTGTACAGATAAAAATAATTTTATAATTATTATTATGGAAAGTCATAATTTTAGTTGTAACATAAAAATTATCTGCATTAATTTTATGTGTACACATAAAATTAATTGTAAAATAAAAATGATTGTCGTGTTATAAATAAGAAATTTCAAATAATAGAATTTAAAAATCTTGTTTAAAAAAAATTGTTCAGCAATGTTTTTAGTCTCACAATAATTCCAATATAATTTCTAAGTAAAAAAATAAAGAACCTCATAAGAAATAAAAATGTACCAAATTTAAATGAAGCAAATATTAAAATGTTACAAAAAAATGCGTATTAAATTAAAATGTATCATAAAAAATAATGCCTAGACATAATAATAAATCGCTATTTTTTCTATCTGTTTCCATTAAATTTTAATTAAATTTATGCTTGACAAAATTTTATTTAATTATTATAAACTATGTCAGACATAATAAAATTATAAAAAATTATATATTCCAAAATTTTAAAAAACATACTTCAATTTTCTATTACATTTAAAACATTTACGATTAAAAAGTGAAATGGGATGCCGTATCTAATAATGTTCCGAAATGATATCATATGTTAAAAATAATATTTCTAGTAGGCAAAAGGGGAAGAACCATTGACCTATATCTGCAAAAAACTTACTCTTTGTGCCATTCATATATTGCTTCGATATTTCCAAACACCATTTTGTCTTTTCCATTTCGCAAATCTTCAGGTATAGGTATTTCGCATTCTGGATCCGCCATTGTTCTCATGTAATCTTCCACTATCTCCTTTAAATTTTCCACGTACGCTTCTTCGGTATCGATCAGTTCCTTGAGCACGAACTCTCGCTTTTTCAGGAGGTTTTCTTTCTTCTTTTGCCTAAAGAAGTAAAGACCGTTTGAGGTGCAAATATTCGATATTTATGAACTTTCAGGGCACTTACAATGATTCTTCCGAGCTTTCTTCCGAAGGTTTGTCGCTTTCGTCGCCGCTGAACGCGAGCGCTGTCGCTTCATTCGAAGAGCACTGCGCAGAAAGCTCGCGATGCGCGTAGTCCGAAATCGCGTCCGCCGATTTAGCGTCGCGTAGCAACGAGTTGCGTTCTTGATTTTCAGAGTGTTGTTCCTAAAAGAACATCGGTTAATAATTATTTTCTATTCTAAGTGTTTTGTGTTCACAGGCCATGCGAAATTTTGAATCATCGATGATTAATACAATAATAATAAAAATATATAAAAACCACTTGTTATCAAATGAATAATAAGTGTGTACACTTCCTACTTAATCTTTAAATAGAACATTTTTATACAGGGTGTCACCTAATATATTGTCATACAGAGCTACTGCTTTTTAATAAAACAATTATTTTTACCTCTAAAAACAAAGATATTATTTATCCAAGCAAAAACGAAACATGTATGCGTACAGTGCAACAGCAAAAAAAATGATGGGGTTCTGAAAGTGGTTTTCGTTTCTCCTATCCAAAGAATGCTTTTTTGCGCTTACATAATGTTTAGATTGATTCAGGTTTTTTTAATATCAATTTTAAGTTGTATTAATTTTTCAACCCGAAAAATCGTTATTTATTAATTTAAACCAATTAACTGGTAGGAAATAATGGAACTGGAAAATCTTTATAGAGGAAAGAGGTTTGATTCGATGTTGGCAGATTTTTGCTGGTCTATGGCAATGGAAATTTTGGCATAAAATTATAAATAAAATTTGTTATATCTTTTATGTCGATTTGTTAAAAAGAAAATGTTTTTAATAATTAATATAATAATAATAAGAATAATTTTTATTATGGTAGAAGCAAAAGAACTAAGAAATTGCACTACAACATATTAAATTTTAATTAATTTTTTTTCTTTATTTGATTATTATTACTTTATAAAACAATATACAAAACCAATAATTATCTTTACTGTACTAAATATTAATTATTTTACGATATTTCGGAATCCAGAATTACTAAAACTTTAAATTGATATTAAAAAAAACCAGAATTAATCTAAACATTCTATCATGGGCGGATCTAGAATGTGTCATTGGGGGGGGGCGGAGTTAAAAATTTTTGTAAATAATAAGAAAGTTGAAATTAAAGTTATTCCATTTTTTTATTATTTTCTATATTAATTTAAAAAGTTATGTTCAATTTCAACTTGATAACTTACTTCCGGGGGGGGCGATCGCCCCCATCGCCCCCCCCTTGGATCCGCCAATGCATTCTATAAACGCTTTTGTATAAACTTTTGTAAACGCTATAATTCATGATTTTGATTTTAGAAACCGAAAATACTTTCAGAACGCCATCATCTTAACTTTTTTCCGAAAATGTTGCACAGTGTTATAAAATATCAAGCAAACTTTGAAATTTATTCTAAGAGGAAAAACTTTCTTATTTTGGCCTGTACTATCATCCCCTTAAAGAATAACAACTTATTTGGTGAAACCCTGTATTAAATAAAGAAAAATAACGCACAGGCATAAATCTACAAAAAATAATGCTGCATTCCTATAGATACAAAAATATACATAATCCTGTAAAAATATACACAAAAACGATTCATGCAAAAATGTGGGTGCAAAAGTGATTACACTGGCCAACAGAAGTTGTATTGAGCAAAAAAGTGATCCTTGAGAAACACCAAATTAAATAAATTAACTTTGTTGACCAGTGTTATTTTATTAAAACAAAAAATAATGGAGAGATTTAAATCGCACCATTCGCTCCTTAACGATTTGCTCGATTTCCGCCAAATCGGCGGAAGTGGCTCCCTCCAGCGATTTTAATGTTAAACTAGAAACCTGCGAATGTGGACAGAAAACAGAGAAATGTTACATGAGTAAATATGACGAAATGGGTTAATTTTTTTAAATGAAATTATACGACTTTTTAAATTTTGTGTATAGAGTAAGGTGATACAAAAATCGAATATTTTTTATTTACTTTTGCTTCTCCTCATCACAGTTTTCCATTTTTTCTGTATTCCCTGATAAAAAAGACCATATTTCATTATTAATCAATCGTTTAATTAAATCTATTATACATATTTTTGTAGGAGATTTAATGCCCTACAAAAAAGGACTAATATGTTTAAGCGATTACTTTAACCATTTAAAAGATATTCAAGATCAAAGTTAAAAAAATTTATAAACTCCATTAAAAATAATTATTGTCAAATGAGTAGGTATGACATATTTTTATAGTAAATTTAACGCTCTACAAAAAAAGGTAAAATGTGTTTAATTAATTACTATAACCGTTGAAAAGATATTCGTATCCGAATCCCAATGAGTACTGATACGAATATCTTCTCAACGGTTAAAGTAATCAATTAAACACATCAGATCTTTTTTGTAGAGCGTTAAATTTCCTACAAAATTATGTCACACTCATTTGACAATAAATATTTTTTAATGAGTTACAAAATTCTTCAAACTTTGAATTTGAAAATCCTTTCAAGGGTTAGAGTAATCGATTAAACACATCAGTCTTTTTTTGTAGAGCATTCAATTTTTTACTAAAATAGGTATAGGGATTTGATTTAACGATTGAATAATAATAAAATATGGTCTTTTTTATAAGGGACTAAAGAAAAAATGGAAAGCTGTGATGAGGAGGATCTTCCTATTAATATTAAGAGCTCAAATTTGGTGAGCACTTTCTAGAGGTGCCTAAGAACCAATTTTTCAGTGTCGGAAGTAAAAAAAAATATTCGAATGTTTTGAATTACCTTAGTATAGATATTATAAAACTTACATGGTACGTTAAAAATACGTTTAACCCAAAAGGGCGAACACTTTTTTTTCATTTTATGTTTCTAGGAGGTCAACCGATCATTTTAAGCTCAAAACTAAAAAAGGTCATAGGTCATCCCTTGGAGCAAATTTGATTAAAAAACACCCTATAGGGGTATACAATTATAGCATAAATATGTAACTAAAATTATAATAATTGTTTTGTATAAAAAAGTTAATTTATCAGGGTCGTACTCTTGAAACGTAGAACCAAGTAAAAAATATAGATGAGTAAAAAATTTGTTAAAAAATTTCGGCAAGACCAAAAGCATGTTTAAGAAAAAAGAAATACTCTTTGGCCAGAATATAAAAGGCTGCCGAAAGTTATATAGGTACTGCAGCTGAAGTCATCATTATATAGGTTAAAGATAGCTTAGATTAGTCTCCCTTAAGTTAAGTTTAAGTAAAACGTTGTTTTTAATTTGGCCAGATTAGCTAATAAGATTAGTTTTACTTAAGCCAAGACAACTTTTAGTAAAATTAAAATATATGTTTTATAAAGTTAATATAAGTTCATTAATAACAAATTTAAAATTAATAATAAAAAATATTAACTTTTTTATTTTGACTTAAGAATTAATTTTGTGAAATACAGCCATGATAAATTATTTTTGCTATAGAAAATAGTAATTTATTGGGGAATATTATAATTGGGATTTTAATAAATAAATATTTTTCACCAAAATAAAATATACTAAAATTTTTTGAAGGAACAAAATAAATATTCAAAAATATGTAAAAAAATTCAAATCAAATTTCCTCGGGATGACTTACAACCTACACTCACAGGCAAAATAATCGATCCACACAAATTTTCGATGAATTTCAATCGCAAATAACTTTTTTATTTGATGTCGGATTTAAACGAATATTAAAGAATATTGTAGATAAATTAATGTACAATCGCTCATATTTAAAAAAATTATATACAGGTTTAAACAAAAAGAAGTTTTTTACCATAAGTTTAGACACTCTTTAGAGTGGCAAAACCTTATATTGTTCTAAATTAAGTTTTATTTATCAAGTCACATCTATTCTTAACAGTTTTGTTTTAGGTTCACCTCGATATATTTATTTTTGTAGAAAATATGGATTTTTAAAAAAAAACATTGCAATTTCCAATATTTTTTCTGTATGAAGAACTAAGGTTGCTATGGTCCATCCATAGGCTATGGAGGATGACAGTGACAGTTTTGTTGAATCATCCTATACTTGGACATGTCATACACGGCTTTCAAAAGCTATCAAATTGTTTTTTGAAAATTAAGGTTAAATATTGAGGTGTCTTCTTACTTTAAATATGGATATGTCTCCGACTGATGTTGCCAGAGTCATTATAAATTAATCCAGAATAGACGGTCACAGTATTACGTGGCAAGTGTTTTAAACGTCACAAGAAGGGCAACATCAGTCGGAGACATTTTTAAAAGTAAGAAGACACCTCAAAATTAAAACTTTAATTTACAAAAAACAATTTGATAGCTTTTGAAAGCTGTATATGACATGTCCAAGTATGGGATGATTCAACAAAACTGTCACTGTCATCCTCTATAGGCTATGGATGGACCATAGTAACCTTAGTTCTTTATACAGGAAAAATATTGGAAATTGCAAGGTTTTTAATAAAAAAATCCATATTTTCCACAAAAATAAATATATCAAGGTAAACCAAAAACAAAACTGTGTGGATCGATTATTTTGCCTGTGAGTGTATTTTAAATTTGGGCTCAAAATGATTGGTTAACTTCCTAGAAACATAAAATGAAAAAAAAATTATAGTGTTCGCGATTTTGGGTTAAACGTATTTTTAAAATACCGTGCTTAGTTATTAATAATATTAAAATTGGATGAAATAAATATTATTTGTTATATTCTCAAAACTCAATGTTTAAATTTATCAATTTCTTGTTATAGAAGCATGAAAACATATTCATTATAACTTTGTTCCTGTAAACAGTAGTTAAAAATACCATCGAAAAAAAAAAATAGAATCTCATAAACAAATAATTTTTTTACCCTTTTGCACGGGTTCTCCTCGATATCGGGCACGCCCGGGGGCGGCGACGTGACCAAAATCGGTTCCTGGATCGGTTTCATCGGAGGCGGCAGCTCCAGCTCCTCGTCGGCGTCTTCGCCGCCGCCGTTCGTGATTTCGACGCCGGGCGTTCGAGCGCCGCCTCCGTGAGCGGCCGCTCCCGCGTGCCGCTCCTCCTCGTCCTCGCCTTCCGAGACTGACGGCTTGTTTCCCATGTCTGACGGTACCTGAGAGCAATAAGAAGATATGTTAGAAGGGTCCCGAAACGGTACCCTGAGGCATACCTGATAAAATACTGTTTTTTTAACTTTTATTGACAAAAAACTTTGTAACATGTTTTGTTATTTTAAATTTAAACAACGATATATAAATTCAAAACTGTAAACCATTATTCTTTATTTCTATTTATCCACCAAACCGCCAGAACTTATCAAGGACATTTGGTTTTATACACCTTATCAGGGGTCTATCAAACACAGCAAAGTCCAATATTTTTTATTCAAATTTCATCACATTGACTCACATTTTATTTATTGCCGATATTAGTGGGTAGGTATATCTATTATTTTTTAGGAAAAAACTTTAATAGTACCTATGGGTGACGTTTTATTTTTTATTATTATTAATTATTTTATTATTTTTAATTTATTTATTTTAAAATTTAATTTAATTTTTATTCCAAACTAATATATTTTATTTAGTTAATTTAAAATATCTGTTTCTTATATTTGTATTTTAATAAAAATTAAATCGTATTAAAATCATCTCCCATAATAAACTCACAGGCAAAATAATCGATCCACACAAATTTTCGATGAATTTCAATCGCAAATAATTTTTTTATTTGATGTCGGATTTAAACGAATATTAAAGAATATTGTAGATAAATTAATGGACAATCGCTCACATTTTAAAAAATTACTAAAAAATAGACGTACGTTTATAATATACAGGTTTAAACAAAAATATGTTTTTTACCATAAGTTTAAGACACTCTGTAGAGTGGCTAACCGTATATTGATGATTCAACAAAACTGTCACTGTCATCCTCCGTAGGCTATGGATGGACCATAGCAACCTTAGTTCTTCATACAGGAAAAATATTGGAAATTGCAATGTTTTTTTTTTAAATCCATATTTTCCACAAAAATAAATATATCAAGGTGAACCAAAAACAAAACTGTTAAAAATAGATGTGACTTGATAATTAAAACTTAATTTAGAACAATATACGGTTTTGCCACTCTACAGAGTGTCTTAAACTTGTGGTAAAAAACATCTTTTTGTTTTAAACCTGTATATTATAAACGTACGTGTATTTTTTAGTAATTTTTAAAATGTGAGCGATTCTCTATTAATGTATCTACAATATTCTTTAATATTTGTTTAAATCTGAAATCAAATAAAAAAGTTATTTGCGATTGAAATTCATCGAACATTTGTGTGGATCGATTATTTTGCCTGTGAGTGTATTTTTAATACATTTAAAAATTTCTCCTATGATATTTTTAATTAAGCGATTTAAAAATATGTGTTTAGCAAAAAAATACAAATTCAGGGTGTTATGTAATTAATGTTATATATTAAAATACTGAATACCTTTTGACATAAGGAATAAAGGAAAAATATTTAAAAAAAACATTTTTCCAAAGATAAAGAAAAAATATGCATTAGAAGTTTTTTATATTTTTTGTGATACGCCACTGGTTACACACTTGTTTATTTCTGCACACCTGTATTTTGTGAGTACATAGATACCAACCAACAAAGTAGCTATGCGTTGCCAGATGTAAAAAATTGTTACTAAAAACTTTTCTTGCAAAAAATAAATAAAAACTCAATAAATACAAAAGTTTTATACGCTTAAAGCTCTAATACCCTTCAGTATTTATTTACTGATCCAGCTATTAGCTTAAGCAATGATTAGAAAATTTAGTACCTTTGAAATTTGAAATCCATAACCACAAAATTAATTTTTTCATCAGTTTTTTTCTCTGTTTACTCAGATGAAATTGGGACCAGTTCACAGGTTAAACTTTAAACATTTAATTTGTGTAAATAAATTCAAAAGCACTTCCCTTAGTTAAGATATTTACAATTTGAAAACATAACCTAAAATTTAAAAGAAATGCACTAGATTCTGTCATAAAAGTTGGCAGATTTTGTTTGAATTTACCTTCAGTACAAAAATGAAATAACCAACAATTAATAAAAACGCCAAATTGACAATTTGCATTGTTAATTTTGTCATTTTTGTAATTAAGCTAAATTTAAACAATGTTTGTCAACTTTTTTGAGAGATTTTGAAACACTGTTACCAACCATAACATAATAAATCCACCAGATTAACCTAAAGTTCCTAGTCGATCAGTGGCGTACTTTTTGGTAGGATAAAGGTTATTATAAATTATTTTTAGACTTTGGAATTTAGAAAAAAAAAGTTTCAGGTGCTTCTTTATGGACCCTAAGGAACAATTCATTTTAATATATAACATTAATTACATAACACCCTGTAGATGCATCTGATTCCTGAAGATCAGTTAGAATTTATATGCAGATGAGAGTGTTGCTGTTTTATAATTCAAAAGTTTAAGTTTATTAATTTGCTATTTAAAAAACTACCCACCGTGAAGTGTAAGTATATTTATCTTTATAAATATTTTATGTATGTACAATTGAGGAGCATCCGTGCAAAACCGGCTATATCCACTTTAATAAAATGTTGGGAAAATGGCAAAAACTCTCGGTTTCCTGGCCTTTACAGATAAAAGAAAAAGCAAACTTGAGTTTTGTGGGCTTTGTGGTACTTGAATACTTTCGTTTTCAAAAACTATATTAAGGCCAAAATTTCAAAAAATGTTTTGTACATAGCCGGTTTTGCTCAAAACCGAATAAAACGTGAAAGAAAACCTTTATTATTCAAAAATATTAACAAAATAAATTTAGTGCAACAACCCATTTTAATATATAACATTAATTACATAACACCCTATATAAGAAGCAAATATTTTAAATTAACTAAATAAAAAATATCAGTTTGGCATAAAAATTAAATCTAATTTTTAATTAAGCGAATTAAAAATTCGTGTTTAACAAAAAAATATAAATATTTTAAATTCACTAAATTATAAATATCATTTTGGCATAAAAATTAAATCTAATTTTAAAGTATCTGCTATGATAATATTAATTCGCAGAAAAAAAATCTTCGGTGATATTTTTTATTTAATTGAAAATATTATTCAACATAAAAAGTATTCATGAATAAAAAACATATACAATATTGTATTTTTTAATTACTGCAAATGTTACTCAAATGGACTAGACCCCTGGATTAGACCCCTGATGTGATTATCTTATTTGGAGGACTTCTTCTTTTTATAACAGTGTTGTGTGATCTGTTTCCATTAAGTCAAATAAAAGTTATTCACAGCTCAATTACTATTTTATTATCGGTAATATTTCAAAGAATCTTAATTACAAGCAGATTTTATGTTTTCGAATTCCTAAGCTGTCGTAAAATTCGACTTAATCGTGTCAAAAGTTTCAAGACTGGCGCCTCCGATTTCGGTTTTGACAAAATTTCTTATGAAAGTTTTAAAAATTGTCCACATATTATTTTTTAAAACAATAAATTTTGAAACACTACAGTTAACCGGTTTGGTTTTAATGTTCACTTTTAGGTAATTTGGTTATATTTTAGTTCTCATTTAATTTTACACAAAAAACTGCTTTGGTTTAAAAAGTCGAAAAAATATGAAGTTGAGTGATATCTTCTAAAAAACTTTTTTATATTTTGAACTAGAATCACCCTTTAAGGTAGTATCTTCATTTGAAGGGTTTTCATCAAATGTCTTCAAAATTTAATAAATGATTTTGTGAATTTTTAAAATAATTAGAGTGCTAAACTCGAGCAACAAAAGAGTATTAGTATAATTTTTATAAAAATCTTAAAAAACAAGTTTTTTAGCACTTTTTAAAATTGGCATTTTAAATTTCGTGCTGCCAACTTAACAAACACAAAAAATGACAGTTCTAAATTGTAATTTTTCTATTATAACAACAAATCAACAATAATTGTTAATTTTTTTATCGTTACCTATTTCCTTTTTGTGTTGTTTTTAGTTTTTAATGATACTGTTATTTATTTATTAAATTCTTCAAATAATTAATTCATAAATTCAAAAAAACTGTAATCCAAGAAAAATAAAACTTACATCTTTTAAGAGCGACGACAGGCGCCTAAAAATCCTACGCCTTAGGGTCATTATAAGAACTTTTTTTCACTAGTAACACGCGTCAAAATTTTAACCTTATATCTAAGCGGTTTAGAACGCGAATGTTGCTTCAATTCCCACTAATCCGGTGAGTATTTCACGCAATGATTCACAACGCACTGATAATAATGTACAAGTTCAATATTTGTGTGTACTTAAAATTTTTAGTACGAATTTTGGCGGATGCGTAGTCTGCTGTTTCCACTAAGTAATTGACTTGTAACTCGGGCGTTCGGCTAATTTTTCGTTTGTTTACAACAGTCTAATTGGTCGGGAACCTGTTGTTTATGTTTCTAGATGATTTTGACCAAATATTTAAAATATAAGTGCGAGGTTTTAATCCTAACAGTTTTTAGTGCACTTTTGCAAATAATGTCAAAAAGGATTTAAAATCTGATTCAGGTAAAAAATAATATAAATTCTATAGATTAAAATTCCGTTGTAGATAATTACTAGCTAAAACCGGAAGTGATAGCACAAAGATATTGGCCAATATATCTTTTTTTCTAGCATGGTCCAATATTGAAACCCAACATTGGCCCGAAGTTGTTTGACATTATATAACCGATATTGGAAATCCGCATTGGCCAGAAGTTGTTTTACATTATATTCTAGGAAAGTTGAGGGAGAAATTGAAAGAAAAAAAGATAGCCACCTAGTACTTACTACGTAGTAGAATTTCTAAAAGTGATATGTCACGATCGTGTCGACAAACGTTTGTTTTCAGGAAATGTTTATGATACTTAGGGGCTTAAAATATTATGCCAATATATGTAGGACCAACCTTGGATAAACATTGGCAATAATATATTAAATTATCATTTAATGCCAAAATAGGGCTAACATCGGCTAAATAAATTCAATATTGGCCCCAGATAAAATATTGGGCATAGAAGCCCATATATAGGACCAATATTTTGTGCTACTAGGGTACTTTTCAAAAATTTTAATGGTTACTTTTAATCTAAAGTTTCTACAGGAAAATTAATGACAAGAAAAAACATGTTATTTTTTTAAAGATGAATCACAAAGTAAAAAGGAAAATTTTTTGGTTCATAAAAAGTCGGAATCCCGCATTTGATCTATTTTTATAAATGGGATACATCGTGAAAAATTTGGCCATGAGACGCTATGCATGATTTATGTTTGTAATTTTGCAATCTATCTGCTGGAAACGTGTGTGATTTTAATCGCTTCCTATTTTCGCATGTTCATACTTAATCATAATTATGATAACCATAATTTATGGGAACGCGAATAACCATAATTATTAGGATTTGTTCTGGGTGACATGTATTAATTTATTAATTAAGGTTTTATTTATTAAAAGAGAAAATATGAGTTTTTAAAAATGCCTTATAATTTATGAGTTCCAAAACATCAAAATAGTTTTTGTATCATAATAGTACAATTATATACAGGAGATAATGCGCATAATCTCGAGTGTATTACCATATACTTTATCCACTCCAATAAGCAGATAATTCAATGATTTAAAAAGTAAATAAATAAAATCTAACATCTGTCAAATTGTTAACCTCATTTTTGACCAACATTAAATGTTATAATAGCCGCCTTCTCCTACCCGATTGGTTCAAATCACAGTGAATATAGAAATCGACCAATCACTAATGCCTAACAACGTGAATTATGAGTTCATTATTCCTGTTGTTAGGCAGAGAATTTATGATGTTTTTAATTATATAAAAAAAATATTATGCTAAAGGAGTAGATAAAATGAATGTTTGATCAAATAAAAATTAAGTCAATTAATTATTATACTAAAAAGTTATAACTAGCTTGAGGGACGTAGGAGGGATTTGGATTCTTGAAGGTTTTTCCTACTTTTAAATCTTAATGTTATGGTTATAATCCGTTAGATTGAATTATTGATTTTTCAAAATAAAAATCCCAGAGGCAGGGGGGTTATATTTTATAAGTTCTCATTTAATTTACACTAAAAAGTCCTTTGGCAAAAACCAGAAAAAATTAAGCTGAGTGCTATCTTCTAAGAGGCGTAGTTACCTTATAAAGCATTTTTGACCCCATGTTTTAAAAAACTTTTTTATATTTTGAACAGTAGAATCACCCCTTAAGGTAGTATTTTCATTTAAAGAGTTTCCAAAATTTAATAAATGATTTTGAGGAATCGTTGGAAAAAAATATTTAAAAAATCTAAGTGCTATTTTTTATAGATCCTTTCAAAAATTCGTTTTTCTACTCATAATACGGAATTTGACCCTTCTAATATCACTTTTATCTATGGAATGACATATATTCCTTAAAGTGTTACAGAATGAAATATTCTATCATCTGATGACAGAATAAACACTCGTGGCGACATCTCTGTTTTTAATATCTAACAAATTTTAGACCGATCCAACCTCACTTTCTTCCAATTTAATTATTTTTCTATGGTAGAAAAAGTATAGTCTGAAACACGTTTGGAATTGCATATTCCGCTCTCGTGAAACCGTCAAACTCGCCTTCGGCTCGTGTGACAAACTCTTCACTCGAGCGGAATATGCTGTATTCCAAACTTGTTACAGAATATACTATTCTAAAGTCTAGCAACAAAAGAGGATTATTATATTTTTTATATAAATCTCAAAAAACAATTTTTTACCAATTTTTACAATTGTCATTTTAATTTTCGTGTTGCCAACTTAAGAAACACAAAAAGATGACAGTTCTAAATTGTAATTTTTCCATTATAACAACAAATTAACAATAATTTTTTGTCTATGTTTTTTGTTGTCGTAACTTATTTCCTGTTTAGGTTGTTTTTTATGATAGGAACTTTAATTTGTAATAAAGCAGTAATTTGTTAATTAAAACACAAAGTTATATTTTTACTACATTGACACCTAACATTCATATAATCTTTATAGTTTTATTTTACCAAAACAATTTTAGGTACTCGAATTCGCGACAAAATATTTGTCATAACATCAATGGGGGAGTACGTCCCTGACTAGCCTAATTGAGCTGCTAGAAAAACCCCATTGGGGATCAATTTCTGTGGGTCTATACTGCCCTACTATGGAGAAAGGCAGTAACTGCTAAACAAGAAATTTGTGGGAAATTAACATAAAATACATTTTTATAAAGCAGTAGGTAGTTTACTGCATTTCTGTGTTGAATTAAGATAATAAATGTCCATAGCTTTATCATAGCACAAGAAAACGCATTTTGAATTTTTTGGTAGTTACTGCCTTTCTCCATAGTAGGGCAATATATTACCTACATCAGGTGTCAAGTTTTAGGACATTTTTATTTTAGTCAGGTTTCACAAACTGCTCTAATCTTAGAAGAGGAAAGAGAGTGGAAAAATACGCTATTGTGATTCAGCTTTACTCTATTCCCTACTTTAAGGCTTTAATACAGTTTTAGAATGTTTTTAAAATATCTTTGCATGATGAAATGTTAACCGAATAAAATATAAAATATTTTCAGCTTATTATTCGTCAATATTAAAAAATCTAAAGCTTTCAAAAAATAATTAAGAAACACTATACGAGGTGTGTTCAGAAAATATCGGGAATTTTCGTTTTTTGAAACAAATATTTATTTATTCGTCTACATTAATGTTGTCGCCTTCAAAATAGTCCCCATTGGATATTATGCACATGTGCCAGCTCTTCTTCCAATACTCGAAACACTTCTAAAACTCGATCTTTGGGATAGCCTTTAGTTCTTTCAGCGATGCGTTTTTAATGTCATCTATGCTTGCAAAACGACGGCCCTTTAAGGTTCTCTTTATTTTTGGGAATAGGAAAAAGTCACGCGTTTCATACCTAAAACATTCGAAAAAATTTCATGGGATGAGCAAATCGATATACCAACATCATCAGCGACTTCTCTGATGGTTTATAACCATTTCTTCCACTTTTTCCATGTTTTTATCGGTTGTTAATGTGCTTGTGCGTTCGGGGCGTTCGTCATCTTCAACGTCTTCACGGCCATCTTGGAAACTCTTATACCACTTGTAAACTCTTGTTTTACTTATAGCAGACTCACTATAGGCCTTTGTTAACATTTCACAGAATTTATTTAATTTTTTAAGCAAAATTGGATACAAATTCTTTGATCCATTTCTTTCGAACGAACGAAAATCGCCGAGCTCATAAAACACGTCTAACCTTAGCGGCTGCCACAGACAAAGTAAACAATGAAAACTGCTAAAGTGTTTATCATACTTCGGGGGCATGTATACCAACATAATAAAGAAATTTTTATGACAACCGGACCCTCCGAACCCGCGAAATTTAACAATTCCCGTTATTTTCTGAACACACCTCGTACATTGAGTAAATGTCTTCCTTACCTTGATCCTCTTGTCGGAGCCAGTCTTCTTGAGTGGAGACCTTTCTAGTGGGGCGGCCGTCTGCGTTTTATCCACTTTGCCCTGCGACAGCTTCCTGAGTGGCGGCGGCAGCCATTTCCGCCTGGAAAAACAGAAAAACATTGGCATCAGAACTGCTGCACTGCTAAGCGATGCATCGAGCGCGACTGCGGGTGTTTTAACACATGGGAAGCACCGCGAGACGATTGCTTTGACAGTTGATTAACACAAAGGCGGCCGATTGATTTAGAAAAAACCGAACACCTTGATACGAGGATTGTGCAGAGAGTAGTACAATTTTTACCGGGGGTGTGTAAAACTACTACGACAATATTATGCTTTGTCCACTGGTCTACTAATTATTTTTATTAACGATGAATATTATTGATTAGATACAAGCATAGTCCGTGCTTATAAGTTAAACAATATTTTATCATATATTATATCACGAGAACTATGGATTTAATCGGTTAAACTAGGCTTAGTAGTTTTTTGTTTGGTTTTTCTTGGAAAATGTTGAATGCAAAAAAAAATTAGGGGTTGAGGGGTTTTCTTTTATTATTTTGTATGGCACTAGTTTCCAAAACGAAAAATCAAATAAAAAACGTACTGAGCATAGTTTGACAGATTAAATAGCTTGAGTGAT